AACACAGACAACTCACCATGGAGTTTGTGTTTCACTGGGTTTTCTTTGTTGCTATTTTAAAAGGTAATTTACAGAGAACGAGAGAAATGAGTCTCGTGAGTATGTGAGTGGATATGAGTGAGAGAAACAGGATGTCTTGTGTCCACAGGTGTCCAGTGTGATGTGCAGCTGGTGGAGTCTGGGGGAGACCTAGTGAAGCCTGGATTCACCTTCAGTAGCTATGCAATGAGCTGGGTCCGCCAGGCTCCAGGGAAGGGGCTGCAGTGGGTCGCATGGATTAGCTATGATGGAAGTAGCACATACTATGCAGACTCTGGATTCACTTTCAGTGACTATGGCATGAGCTGGGTCTGCTAGCCTCCAGGGAAGGGGTTGCAGTGGGTCGCAGCTATTAGCTATGATGGAAGGGCCGATTCACCATCTCCAGAGACAACAGCAAGAACACGCTGTATCTGCAGATGAACAGCCTGAGAGCCGAGGACAGGGCCGTGTATTACTGTGCCAGTGACACAGTGAGGGGACGTCAGTGTGAGCCCAGACACATACCTCCCTGTAAGAGGTGATCTGGCCTCCAGGGTGTGCACACTACTCCCCAATTCTGTTTTCAGCCCCAGGAGCAGGTGCAGATGGAGGTTATGGGCAGGCTTCCTGTCAGAGTCTGGGCCTTCTTCTCCATTTATAGCTGTTTCCCCCAGGGAGGTTCCCCATTCACATGATTCCATGCTTACGTATTCATTCTCTGATTCGAAACTTGCTTTTTTTTTTAAAGATTTTATTTATTTATTTGAGAGAGAGAATGAGATAGAGAGAGAGCGAATGAGAGGGGGGAGGGTCCGAGGGAGAAGCAGACTCCCCGCCGAACAGGGACCCCAATGCGGGACTCGATCCCGGGACTCCAGGATCATGACCTGAGCCAAAGGCAGTCGTTTAACCAACTGAGCCACCCAGGCGCCCCGGAAACTTGCTTTTAATAGGAAAAAAAAACTATTCTAATACGCACAAATCACAGAGTTGCTTACACTTGCTTACTGTTGTCTCTAAATATGAATAAATTACAAATATCTCCATGTCCCTACACTGAACCTTAGAGAAGTCCCAGCAGCAATACCTGTGCATCACAGGACCACCGAGCTTAATGTGAAAGCTTGTTAGAAGCAGCATAAAATGCATGCTAGACATGAGGCTACAGCGGCATCAATAATCCAAAGCAAGGGAAGAAAAAAACCTGGTGTGAACATGCTTGAACCATACTCATAGCATCAGTATTACTGATAGCACGGGTAAACAGAGGTCCCCCCTCCCCCTCCAGGTGTGGTGTAGATGTGGAGTCTGATGATCACACACAAACACACACACACGAGTATAAAAAATTTATCACCTTCTTCATCATGTCTGCTGAGAACAGGGCAGACCTCTCAGCAAAACAAATGCTTGGATAGGTCCAGGGATGTACACTGGCTCAGAGTGTATGTTGTGGGTCACTGGTGGCAAAGGAGTCCTGCTCATGGGAGGGGCTTGTGTGGAGTTAATCTCCCAGCTGCATCAAAGGCCTGCAAATCTATGAGATCTTGGTAGATTTCCCCTGTGTGTGCTCTGAGGAGAAAAGGGATGAATGAAGGTCAAGCACTAGCCACAATAATAGAAACATATGGTATGATGACTAATTCTACTAAAGAGTATGAAAACTTGGAGAACAAAAGAGAAAAATTGCCATTCTAAGGAGAAACAGTCAGAACCCTTGCAAAATAGGAATGATCCATGGAAGCAGATGAAATTATAAAATGATCATAGAAATAGACCAAAGTCTTACCCAGTGTCTGCAGTAGAAGCTCTCCACTCCCCAAGGTCAACAGCTGGTTCTGAAGGTCTTGCGTTCACTGTATGCACACAGAGACCGGAAGCTTCCAGTGAATACATGAGAATCCTCATGCTGAGTGGTCCACTGGAGGAAACTTCCTCCTGCAGAGAATAACTAATTGATCCTTCAGTTGCTGATATCAGCTCAGAATGTGACCTCTAGCATCCCCATGATGAAACCAAACACTCATGTGATGGGAGGAGGAGGTGGAGCCTTCAGGAAGCACTTAGGTCAGGAGGGTGCAGTCTCATGCTGGGATTAGTGCCCTTATACACCAGGACTGGGAAAACTCCCTGCCCCCTGGCACCATGTGAGGTGAAAGGGCAAAGATGGGCTTAGACATGGGTGCTCTCCAGACACCAAACCTGCCTGCATCTTGACCTGGGACTTCCCAGAATACAGAAATGTGAGAAATCAGTGTCTATTGCTTTTTTTGAAAACAATTTATTATGTTCTGTTAGGCCCATACAATATATCATTGATTTACGATGTAGTGATCCACGATACATTGTTACTGTATAACACCCAGTGATCCATGCAGTATATCCTCTCCTTAATATCCATCACTGGGCTAACCCCTCCCCCTCCCCCCTCCCCTCTAACACCCTTAGTTTGTTTCGCTGAGTCCATAGTCTCTCATGGTTCCTCTCTCCATCCGAATCCTCCCCCTTCATTTTTACTTTCCTTCTCATTATGTCCTCCATGATATTCCTTATGTTCCACAAATAAGTGAAACCATATGATAATAGACTTCTCTGTTTGACTTATTTCACTTAGCATAATCTCCTCCAGTCCCCTCCATGTTGACGTAAAAGTTGGATATTCACCCTTTCTGATGGCTGAGTAATATTCCATTGTATATATGGACCACATCTTCTTTATCCATTCATCCGTTGAAGGGTATCTCAGCTCTTTCCACAGTTTGGCTATTGCAGACATTGCTCCTATGAACATTGGGGTGCATATGGCCTTCTTTTCACTTCATCTGTGTCTTTTGGGTAAATACCCAAGAGTGCAATTGCTGGGTCATAGGGTAGCCCTCTTTTTAAATTTCTGAGGAAACCCCACACTGTTTTCCAAAGTGGCTGTACCAACTTGCATTCCCACCAACAGGGTAAGAGGGTTCCCATTTCTCCACAACCTTTCCAACATTTGCTCCTTCTTGCTTTGGCAATTTTTGCCATTCTAACTCCTGTAAGGTGGTATCTCACTGTGGTTTTGATTTGAATTTCCCTGATGGCTAATGATGAACATTTTTTCATGTGTCTGTTAGCCATTTGTATCTCTTCTTCACAAAAGAGTCTTTTCATATCTTTTGCCCATTTTTTGACTTGATTATTTGTTTTTTGGGTGTTGAGTTTGAGAAGTTCTTTCTAGATCTTGGATACCAGCCCTTTATCTGTGGCGTCATTTGCAAATATCTTCTCCCATTCTGTGGGTTGCCTCTTTGTTTTGTTCAATGTTTCCTTTGTTGTGCAGCAGCTTTTTATCTTCTTGAAGTCCCAAAAGTTCATTTTTGCTTTTGTTTCACTAGCCTTTGGAGATGTATCTTGAAAGAATTTGCTGTATCCGATGTTAAAGAGGTTACTGCCTGTGTTCTCTAGGATTTTGATGGATTCCTCTCTCACATTGATGGCTTTCATCAATTTTGACTTTATCTTTGTGTATGGTGTTAGAGAATGGTCGAGTTTCCTTCTTCTGTATATAGCTGTCCAATTTTCCCAGCATCATTTATTGAAGGGAATGTCTTTTTTCCATTGCATATGTTTTCCTACTTTGTCAACGATTATTTGACCATAGAGTTGAGGGTCCATATCTGGGTTCTCTATTCTGTTCCATTGGTCTGTGTCTGTTTTTGGGCCAGTACCATGCTGTCTTGGTGATTACTGCTTTGTAATAGAGCTTGAAATCAGGCAACGTTATGCCTCCAGCTTCAATTTTCTTTTAAACATTTGCTTGGCAATTCAGGGTCCTTTATGATTCCATACAAATTTTAGGATTGTTTGTTCCAGCACTAACTAACGTCATTGGAAATTTGATCAGAATGGCACTGAAAGTATAGATTGCTCTGGGCAGCATAGACGTTTTAACAATATATATTCTTCCAATCCACGAGCATGGATTTTTTTTCCCATTTTTTTGTGTCTTCTGCAATTTCTTTCATGAGTGTTCTGTAGTTCCTAGATTAGAGATCCTTTACCTCTTTGGTTAGGTTTATTCTAAGGTATCTTAATGTTTTTGGTGCTATTGTAAATGGAATCATTTCTCTAGTTTCTCTTTGTACAGTTGCATTGTTAGTGTATAAGAAAGCAACTGATTTCTGTGCATTGATTTTGTATCCTGCCACATTACTGAATATGTGTATGAGGGCTAGTAATTTGGGGGTGGAGTCTTTTGGATTTTCCACATAAAGTATCACATCATCTGCGAAGAGAGATTTTGACTTCATCTGCCAATTTGAACGGATTTTATTCTTCTTGTTGTCTGATTGCTGTTGCTAGGACTTCTAGGTCTATGTTGAACAATAGTGGCAAGAGTGGGCATCCTTGACGTGTTCCTGATATTAAGGGAAAGGTTCTCAGCATTTCCCCATTGAGGATGATATTCGCTGTGGGTTTTTCATAGATGGATTTTAGGAACTTGAGGAATGTTCCCTATACTCTGAAGAGTTTTAATCAGGAAAGGATGCTGTGTTCTGTCAAATGCATTTCTGCATCAATTGAGAGGACACACTCCTACTTGCAAGTACTGACCACAGTCCCTCATCACATTGACCTTACACACAGAAACATCCTCCAAAACATCAACCTATTGGGACACCTGGGTGGCTCAGTGGTTAAGCATCTGCCTTCGGCTCAAGTCATGATCCTGGAGTCCAGGGATAGAGCCCTGAGTCAGGCACCCTGCTCTGTGGGGAGTCTGCTCCTCCCACTCCTGATGCCCACCCCCCACCTCCCTGCTCATAATTTCTCTCTCGGTCACTCTCTCTCCCTCTCTAAAATAAATAAATAAATAAAGGAATAAATAAATGAAGAAAGAAGAAAGAAGAAGGAAAGAAAGAAAGAAAGAAAGAAAGAAAGAAAGAGAGAAAGAAAATCTTTTTTTTAAAAAAATCAACCTATTAAACATTAAAGCAAGGCCAAAATGTACAGAAATATCATCACCTCTAAATCTCCAAATCTGAATATATATTTCCGCTATAGTGAAATACTGGGTTGCTTCCATCTGGGAGTAAAAAGCTCTTCATCAGTACACAAAACAATATTTCCTTCCATAAAATACAACTGCAAGGCAAGCATATGATAGGAGGTACTGACGTTCTTGTTACAGGAGAGATAAAGTGTAATTTAAAAAGATGTCACCCATGCTAAACAATTTGCATATCCATCTTGACAAACTCCATTAGGTTTCAGAGCCTGAGAATGCTTATCTCAGACTTCTTTTGGGGCTTGTTTTTCTGTCTGGAATCAACCCTTCCTTTTTGTTAGAAGCTGACTCATGTTTGAAGATAAGCATTTTATCAGCCTGTTTCCTGCCTGTGGAATTGGTAAGTCCAGAAATCTTTGATTTTCTTCTGTCTCTTATTAAATAAGATCTTTTTAAACTTGGAAACATAAGAACGTCTTAAAGCAAGATTCCTGCTCACCTCTGAATACAGAAATTTATAGCTGAGTTTTTAAAGACAAGGAGCATACTGAGGGGTGAAAGATGGGAAATGAGTAAAAGGAGACATCCTCTGAAAAGGGGGGTCTGTAGTGCTCATGATGGGAGGGTCTCTTCTTGCATATTGCATAAGTAGGGAAGGGAGAAAAGGAGTCTCTCTATCTCTGCATGAGTCTGGGACACCAAAAGGTGCACTGGGACCATCAGGGAGTGTTCAATCAACCAGGGGAACTCAGGAATCATGGAGCTCATGATCCAGGACAAAAGGTTGGTTGAGGGCTCGTCTCCACTCAAGAGTTTTTAGTTCCATGCTCTGTAAATATTTCCTGACACAAACACATAAACACTTCGGAAAAACTGTCAAAACACAGATGTGTCTTCTGTATTCAAATCAATAATCGTAATGTTAATACCCAAATTTGTGATGTACCAGTTAATGGGAAATTTTAGCTAGTAGGATCATAGCCATAACTGTGAGATTAGAAGTACAATGATCTCCATTTCATAGATGAGGACATTTCCTAAATAACAGCATCCATTCTGATCTCTGTTGTTGAGAGTTTCATTGTCTGCTAATGATTCACCATTTTATTTTTATTGATGCTTTCCTTGGATGTGTACAGAGACATCATGTGTAAATGCCCCGTAGGTTGCTGAAAATGTGCAGTGTCTCCATCAACTCTATGACTCTCTCTAGGATTCTCAGTGTCTCCAAGCTTTCAAGAAACTTGGTGGTCTCCACCCTTCAGTCAATTTGGTAATCTGGAAACTCAGGAAGCCTGCACACCTCACCACATATGACCAACAGTGACCTGGAGGTATTTCAGGGGGGCAGGCATGTCCCATGGTGGGGAGCACAGGGCCAAACATGGGTTCACGCTTACTTGATGTGTGCTCTTGGACACCCAGAAAGCCCTTCTGTGCTGCACTGTGTACCTATCCAACTGTAAAATGGTGATAAATGGGTACCTACATCACAGGTTATTTACAGAGAACAAGACACATTGAGTATGTGAGTGGATATGAGTCAGAGAAACAGCATATACGTGAGTTTCCTGACGAGGATGTCTTGTGTCTTCAGCTGTCCAGTGTGCGGTGCAGCTGGTGGAGTCTGGAGGAGACCTGGTGAAGCCTGGGGGCTTCCTGATACTCTCTTTTGCAGTTTCTGGATTCACCTGAAGTAGCTACTACATGAGCTGGGCCCACCAGGCTCCAGTCAATGGGCTGCAGTGGGTCTCAAGTATTGATGATGGTGGAAGTAGCACAAGCTATTTAGATTCTGTGAAGTGCTAAGAACACACTGTATCTGCAGTAGAACAGCCTGAACTGAGGACATGGCTGTATAATACTGTGTGAGCAACAGAGTGAGGGGACATCAGTGTACCCAGACACAAACCTCTCTGTAGACTGGAACTGGCCATACAGCGGGTACACACTATTTACCAATTCTGTCTTCAAACACCACAGGCAGATGCATATGGAGGAAATCTGCAGGTTTCCTGTCAGGGTCTGGGGCTTTCTGTCCATAGAGCAGTTTCCCCCAGGGAGCCCCTCTGCACACATCATTCTGTGCTTACCTATTCACTCTCTGACATAAAAAAAAAAAAAAAAAAAAAGGAAATCAACTGTACTAACAAGCACAAAAGACAGTGTCACTTGCACTTGCTTGTTTCCATACCTTAATATCAATGCATTACAAACATCTCCATGCACATCATCTGAACATTTTCAGGAGTCCCAGCTGCACTCACTGTGCATCACAGGACCACCCAGCTCAACGTGCAAGCTTGCTAGAAGCAGCATAATGTGCATGCTGGCCATGAGGCTACAAAGGCATCAAAAATCCATGGAAAATGAATAAACATTGGGAAGGTCACTGTCTGGAACCATGCTCATAGCATCAATATTACTGACAGCATGTGAAAGCAGAGAGAAACCCACCAGGACATTGTGAGAATGTGGAGTCTGAA